GTTCGGCATCAATTTCTGATACACCTGCCGATGATTCCATTCGCGATGATGTTGTCGCTCGCATTTTAGGCCCTGAACGGCATGGGAGAGTTAGGGGACTCGGATTTGGAGTTGTACCATCAAAGGTGGATGGACAAATACAAAGTAGTGGGAGAGTTAGAGGATTTAAAAGCCAATTACAAACTCAAGCACAAAGGATGGGAGCACTACAAGAAAAAGTGGAAGCACTTCTGAAGTTTTCTCAACAGGTTATAAATAGTTTACCTTTTATATATACTATAAAATAGTATAGATTAATATAGCCAATTACATGTAGAATAAATTTTGTAATTTTTGTATCATTTTACAGAATGTAGATGACAGGAATTCAAATGCTATTACTCATTAGTTTTTTGTGTCATACATTATTAAATGTTTATTCAATATATATTCAGTTTGTAGCATTGTAATTTAAAAAATAAAAATTCTGTCTACTATGAATTTGTAGTCACACCAAGGAAGTACTATACCTATGACAAATACAAAATGTTAATTGTTGCATTGGTACATGTTTGAAAAGGAAGAAGTCGTAGCAGAAGGGAAGATTGCAATAACAAATCCAAGTGCAAAGGTGCATCACCTGCCACTTGGTCCAGATTGTTGGAAGGTTTGGGTTGAGGAAGTGTATACGGATACTTTGACCTTATACGGACCTACAGATGAATTTCGGACTCTTAGTGAAGCCATGGAAAGTACTGTTACTTAGCCAAAAGCAGTACTAGACTTCTTTGATTAATGTATGGTTTCTAGATATATTACATCTATGGTTCCCATTCCATAGTAATCTTCCAAATTGGAAACTTTTGTGGAACTTCTATGGTTCAGTCATATATATAATGATGATGATGTGGAAATCAGTTGTCGAGTGTCATGGTTACCAATTAAAAACTTTTTTAAAAGAATTAGTTACTGCATATGCCAGTTGTTTTCAGAAAAATTCTTGATTGGTGTTTGTCCTTAGAGGCTTTGCTAATTCTTGTTTGGTCTTCATTTCTAGATTTCCATAATATGATTGGAGAATATGGTTCATACTGTGAAATGGCAGATTTATGTGAGCATATGAGAATCAATGATGTCTTTGATTGAAAGAAACTTACAGATAAAGAAAGCAGTAACACTTTGGAGTTTGAGAGAGCTAATAGACTTTCAATATAACTTGCTATTAACTAAAAGATAGATTGTCGAGCTGGGTGCAGTGGGTTTCTTTGAAAGCAAGTTATTTGCTTCAATACTACATCATCATCATCATCATCATGATGTCTCTTCACATTCTCTGTCTTTTGACTTTGTCATGAGAATTGCATAGTATTAGATAGTTACTAAATTAAAAAATCAAAGTTAAAATTTTATTAGCCTTTAATGTTTGGCAAAAAGAGGCTTAGTGATATTTAGTTTCAGCATTCCTTTTCATGCCTTTTTGTTAGCATAAAATTGATTAATTTCTTCTTTTATGAATTTCTCGAGCATTGCCACTCTAGCATTGTTAGAATTGCTAATTTCTCGAGCCTTGCCACTCTTTACTTTGGCATAGTTGTAAAGAGTGGCACAAAGTAACTGCTTTTTGAATATTTGGTCATTTGTCAAGTCAATCTAACTTGTGTTTGCATAGTTTATCGGTTCTAATTGTTAATGTTCTTATTGCTTGTTGTGTTTGCTAGAGTCATGTTGGTATTGCTGGAATGATGCTTCAACGGGGGATGAAGTGGATGGTGTGAGGTACCTGGTTTCCATGGGACTCAAACATGGGCTTAATTTCATGTTGGCACCGGCAACTCCTTTTTTGATGTTATAAAATATCAATCCAAACTTGCTGAGCACTGGAGAAAAATTTAGTATGAATTATTGCACTTTTTGTACTCATCAGAATGATGTTTTTGATGCTGGGTTGATATTTTAAACTTTAAACATATATAATGAAATTATTTTGAACATTGCACAATGTATATGCACTCGCATGGTTTAATTAGTTTCAATGCAAGAGCATATTTTCCCATTTTAATTATGATTTCTTAT